TACTGCGTCGACGAAATGCTACACATATCTGGTCCGAGAGAATCTATATGAGGCCTTACGACATATTCGTCTAGCAGACGATTATCTGTGGATCTGGGTAGATGCTTTGTGCCTGAATCAAGATGACGAAATCGAAAAAGGTCAGCAGATTCTGAAGATGCCCACTATCTACTCGAATGCGTGGAATGTCATTGCGTGGCTTGGGGGGGATGAGGGTTCTCCACAAGATATCAAGAACGCCGTAGGGCTGGTGCCGAAGATCTTGAATCTAAAGAAGCTCAATGCCGCCCTGCAGGGAGAGACGCTTAGCGAAGATATCCTTCGTGCTTGGGTCGCTTTTGGCAGACTTCTGCAACGACCATGGTTCAAACGCCGGTGGGTCATTCAGGAAGTAGCTTGTGCAAGAAAACTATGCGTACGCATAGCGGATCACATCTTGAGCTGGCTAGATTTCGCTGACGCCGTGGAACTGTACTCTGACAACCTCAGTCGAATGAGAGTATTGTATCGCCAATCGTCGTTACTCAGAACAGACCCTGTCGCTTTGGACGGTATCGACTGTAATCAGGCTGTGGCGCTGATGGCATTTTCGCGCAACATATTTCGAAAATCTTCAGATTCTGTGATTGTATCCAAGCTGATGAATCTGGAGTGTCTGGTTCTCGCTGCCTCGAGTTTTGCAGTATCGGATATTCGAGACGTAGTATACGCCTTATTGTATCTTGCAAACGATAGCTATCGGCCTCTCGTCACGCGGCTCAAAAAGCCGGCTCGCCTCGTCTTCTCGTCTAATTATTCGACACACCCAGCGGATATATTTGAGGAATTCGTCCGCTATAGTATAGCAAGTTCTGGGTCCCTGGATATCCTCTGTCGGCCTTGGGCGACCTGGCCATCTGCAGCGCATACTGTTCACTACGAAGACCGAACAATACCCTCTTGGATTGGGGTAGCATCCTCCAATCGAGACGGTCCCGATTCGCGGCATATTCCACCGGAAGGCCTACTAGGTCCAGTTGGCGGCCATGTGTATGACGCATCTCGTGGCATAGCGGTCCAAGCCGAGACACTCAGATATAAAAAAGACTGGGAATTCCATACGCCCTCATTTTCAAGCAGTCCGGGTGATGAAGGGGTCATCATGATGAAGCGAAGCCCAGTGCCACAAATAATCAGCAATGTTTTACGTGTCAGAGGTATGATACTCGGTAAAATCGAGACTGTGTCCGCGTCGACTGCTAGCGAGGGACTTATCAAAAATGATTGGCTCAAAACGCTTGGATGGCAGGGAGCCTTGAAAAAAGGTGTCGATGACCAGCTTTGGAGGACCCTTGTTGCGAATCGCAATGCAGAATCTAAAGTTGCTCCTACCTGGTATCGGCGCGCATGCGCTTTGGCACTCACAAAGCTCGATCATGCCGGTAACCTCGATATCACAGTCTTGACAGCTGATCCATCACAACCGGCTACGTTAGTAAGCTATCTCACACGAGTACGAGAAGCGACTACAAATCGGCGATCATTTCGTTGCGAAATCAGCCATGCCGAGTCTGGTTCCATGGGAGCCCAAACGGACGCTATGGTAGGGTTTGGACCAGAGCACATATCGTCTCAAGATCATGTACTGGTTTGCATTCTGTACGGATCGTCAGTGCCGGTGATATTGAACAAGATCGAAGACAGTGCTTGGGGCACCACTCACGTGAAGCTTGTCGGAGCCTGCTACGTACATGGACACATGGAAGGGGAGATATTCTCTGGTATGAGCAAGGAGGAGATACGAGATAGATCGAAGACGTTCAGCATCCATTGAGCCTTGCCTGGATATATCAACACATGCGCTACTTCACAAACCTCCTTTTACTTTCCAAAACAAGAACCAAACCGGTCGCTCTATCTCTATCTGGAATTATACCCGTATCTCCTACTTCCTTTCCTTCGGCCACTTATCCTGATCATCACTATAATCTGGCAAATCAATCTTCACCACCGTCTTTTCCTTCCCTTCACCTTCCTTCCTCTCATTCGCCAAAAGTACATCCACCAAAAACTTCCTCAGACCTGCTGGCGTCTTGTTTGTATACACCCTGCAAAAGTACCCAACCTCCTCCATTTATTGATACCTTTCAAGCTCTCAGCAGTCAAGGGGTCCTTAGCAGCCCATGTCTGAAACGTCTTCTTGTAAATGCGCTTGAGATAGACACGTGCTCGATTTGGCCATATCAATTGCTCCCTAATATCGTCAAGCAGTGAGTCTTTCACGTCGGACGGAAGTTTCCTAGCCCAGAGAATGAGATCAGAGTCTGGCATTTTGAGAAAGTCTGGGGGCGGACGCTTGGTTTGCTTAGCACCGGGAGTGGGTGGCTAATCGGATGCCGCAGCAGGACTGTTTTGTTCGGGCTCGTCGTCGGAATCGAAGTCCAAGTCGTCTGAGTCACTTAAATCCATGATATCGTCTTCCGCCATCTTCGCCTTCTTGTGGCCACCCATGTTATCTTCGCCACCACGAGATCGCTTGGCAGCTGCGGGTTGCCTCTCATCAAAGACCTCATACCTCTGCTTCATTCTCTCTCCGATGATATTCGGGATTTCAGTCAAGGTCTTGCGATCGTCGTCGGTGAAGAGGTCGGGGTCCTTGAGCCATATATTGGTCAAGCGATCCTTAGACTCGTCGTCGAATGTGGCGCCGGAAAGGACCTGCAGTATTGCCCTCACTGAGATACCGTCTTCTGTGGCTTTGTTGCTGAGTTGGCATCGTTCGATACGTTCGAGATTGCTTTCTCGCCATAGCTTGATTTGCTCGGAGGGTACTGCTTGCTCGTCGGCGAAATCTGCGGGGATATCGGTGATTGTGTCGGGGCGGTTGAGTAGAGGGAGGTAAGAGCGATGCGGTGGATTGCCGGTAGCTGGTGGAGGATCATCGCCTGGTGGAGGGTCACCGCCTGCTCGAGGATTGCCGGTTGCAGCGCGTGTAGCCGCTGCCTCTGCCGCTGCCTTTTCATGCTCAGCCTTCATCGTCCTCCATGCCAGCTTGTAGGCCTGTTCCTTTGTTTTGCAACCTCTATAACGGTCAGGTCGCTCTCGAATCAATCCGCGAAGGATGTTTTTGGATGCTTGGGTGTTTTGTGGATCGTTCAAATCGTCGATGTAAGTGTCGTCCTCATCTTCGTCGTCCGTATCCCAAACATTCTTTTCGGGAGGAGGAGTAGGGCGTCTTCCCCCGTTACCACCACCGGGACGGGATCTTCTGCCACCACCGCCACCACCGCCACCATCACCACCACCGCCGCCGCCGCCGCCATGCCTGTTACCTCTAGCCGCATGTTTACGGAATACGTACTTATCGAACAACCTCGGCGTATCTGGCTTGCCTATTCGATCCCGCCAAGCGGTTGCCACCCAAGGCGCAACGACCTTAGGGTTCAGAATGCGAAAGACATCCGGTGTCACCTTCAACGAAAGCTCACCAGCTTTGGCATCTTCCTCACTCTTGTTCTGTATGATCTTCTGCATCTCCACTCTTGTGTACAGAGAGTCAAAGGCCAAGCCGTCACAATGTTGTGTCTTATTCCGCCTCCGGAAAGCAGCACCCAGATGGCGTAAGTAGGGCGACGAGTCTTTGTACAGATATTCGAGAAAGGCAACGACGTACGGCCCGCAAGCCCCACCATCGGCCTTAAAACTGTTGTCATCGAACTGGTGTGGAACGTATTTGGCGGTTTTTGCATTGTATCGTCCTCGCTCGAGCCCGAGAACCTGCTCGATGGCACAGAGAATTTTGCCGGCGACTGTTGCCGCTCTAGACATGTCGGGGGGAAGCCGCTCTCTCTTTCCGTTGATCGTGACCAGTTTGATGTTGCCATCGATCCAGCGTGCTGTCTTTGATTCTTTATCGACGACTAAGAGACCCCAGTGATTGCCGATAACTGGAGGACCTTCGGCAAGCTCCTCTTCTTCTTCCATCACCTCGCCTTCTTCGACTCCTTGAGTACCTGCTTTTCGAGCTGCCTTAGCTTCTTTAGCTTCCTTTGCTTTTCTCGCTTTCTCCTTATACCATGCGTCTTGTTCCTTGGTTGTTAATGGCCCGTCATTGACAGGCACTACAATATAACGCTTTGAATCTCTTAATGTCGGCTCAATTTTACCATCTTTGAGCAAGTCCTCCATGGTACAATTTCCGTTACCGAAATTAAACAAATCCCAACCCTGGTAAATTGGGAGTGCGCAAACGGTTCCCCCCCTTTTTTGCGCAGTCAATAGAGCGAAGGCAACATCGAGACTACCAGCCTCGAGCCAGCAAGCAGGGTCATCGCCTCTTGTAGTTGTGATGTCCAAGTATTCCCGGACTCCGATTTCGCGAGTGTAGCCATGCTCATTCTTGAGTTCGACTAGACTCGTTTTTAACCATTTATCGAGGGGATCGTCGTCAGTCTGTGTGCCTTTGTCGTTGCCAGTTGGCTGGACCGCTGGTGTGCCTTGAACATTATCAACTTCCGTCGAGCCGTTGGCGGTATCTTCTGGAGTGCCTGCCATTAGGAAAATGCTGTATTCGTGGTGTCCTTTTGATGAAATCAACGAGTGTCATAGATCCCGTGGATGTATATGCTTGATATGTAGCATCTTCCTCGAGTCCTCTGAACAAAGCCGAAGACACTTGAAAAGAGAACGGGATGCGACGAACAAAGACACCAAGGTAGATAGCAACGCTCTTTGTCGAGTATCGGACGACACCATCATTGTCCGAGTCTCTTTCATGTCCGTTTTGGGATGGCCATGTGATCAGCTCATCAGGTGGTTAGCGAAGACATGATATAAGGCAAAATTGGAAGCGGCAGTGAACGTCGTAAATCGTCAATTAAGCAGCTAGCAGAATGTTTAATCTGCCGTAGGAGTGTCAGCGACGACGCCGGGTCCACGAAAGGCATGGACGGTTACCCAAGAAAGCGGTAGATAATTATCCATGCTGCCGGTACATTTCCTAACACCTTTGTCATACCCGTCTACCTCCATTGTCTTGCCGGCACTGGCGGTACAACCTGTCGGTCATCTGCCCCTTCCCTAAGCAGATTTGCCGGATCTGTAAACGGGTTCGTATGCGCTTCTAGATCCTCGGGCGACGCTGGTGATCTCGCATTCTTCGGCTGCTGGCCTGGGGTACCATCGATGAACGTGAGACCGAAGTTGTTCAACGGAACGGGCGTAGCACTAGCACCGATTCCAGAAGAAGGAAAGTCGCGAAGGTTCTGTTGGGCGGGGGTAAGGGAAGAAGAGCCGCTGAGATCGTCTAGGCGCATAGACTGTTGCGCATCGGTCTTTCGGTTGATGTATGCGGCAGCGAGCGCGAAGCCAAAGTAGATAGCCATGCTGTTACTTATTAGCTTATTTCCCCAACACCACCACCCATGTGTTATCGTAAAACTTACCAAACCGCTCCCAATAAGCCCAAAACCTCACAACCCCGTTCAATACCCTTCGCCCATCTACTCCACCTATCCAACGTATACATCGTCTTATCGTATTGCCAACACGAATCCCTAGTGAGAGCCACAGTGTGCCTCAAACTATAATCGATCTTGCTACTGGGGAAAGTATTCATCCAAACAGTGCCCAAAGCGACCAGCACGAAGTAGACGGCGAGGCAGGTGGACCAAAGCATGCCAGCGCGGTTGGAGATGCGTGCGGAGCGGTAGTGGCTTCGAAGGAGAAGGAGGAGATCGATGACTAGGAGAAGCGGGTTGAAGATCAGGATTGCTATGATCGTGCTGTGAGGATGACGGTTAGCATATCTTCATAGATGGGTTGGTGGTATAGAAAGACAAAACTTACAAGACCCCTCCCATCTCTTTCCCACTCAGATACTCGGGCCCCATCAGCCCCGGGTCCGTATTATTCCACCCAACATCCATCCCATTCCAGAACTTCACGCGATCCACATTCGCATACAGCACCGGCAACGTCTTCACGACCCTATTCAACACATACCCATCCGTATCCCCGTATAGCCCATACCTGGTGAAGTCAAAGTTGCTACTGTCATCCACATTCCAGCATTCGACTTCGCTTTGGGGAGAGGCGAGTAGACGGTGGGCCATGGCGACGCACAAGCCGAGTTGCGCGACGGCGAAGAGGATGGAGAGGAAGAGGAGGATGTCGGTTGCGAGGCCGGTGCGGGAGGGCCAGCGGGTGGAGCGGGAGTGGGTGAAGAGGGTGAGGCAGGAGCGGGCTTCCTTGAAGGGGTTTGTGCGGGGGCGCGCCATGATGGCGTTGTTGGTGGTGAGAGATTTGTAGTCTGGTGTCGTTTTTTGTTAGTGGTGGGTGACTGGAATAGTTATCTGAGAGTCGAGGAGGGGAGATAGAAGGTGAACAGGACAGGATTTATCCATCCCCCAGGCCCTCAGGGTCTGTGGTGTCGTCGTCTGGTAGCGGTACAGTGAGTACCGTGGGTGCGACGCCGGAAGCGAAGGGGAGCCATGATACCATCTTCAAATGTCCTTGGGCAAAATGGGCTGATGGCGTCTTCAGGAAGGAGCGACGACGATAGCGTCGCCGAGAAACCACGCGAGGCGAACGAGGAAAGAGCGACCGGACGGAAAGGTATCAACTTGAATTGGCAGCTACATAGAAACATTGATCGGGCTCGGGGCTTCGCAGGGGGTGTACATGCTTGCGTAAAGCAAAAGGACAAAAAGGGCTCATGACAGGGTAACAAGGAGATTAAGATCGTAATCAATAGAGGTATTGCAAGTTGTTTACATGCGGCTGCGATAGGGCCTAGGGACAGCCGGCTGGAAGAGCCTATCCGGCAGCCTGTTTCCATACTGATCGAAGCGGTAGTCCTCCTTTTGTTCAATCCACATCTGCCCAGCAAGTTAGCCTTGTGCTAACAGCTAGAGCTTGCTACCGTAGGGGCGGGGCGGGTAGCCAGCAGTGTTGTAACCACTCACCTCGCGGTCGGCGTAGTTCCTGTCCAACGGCACTGGTTGTGGATTTAGTATTTCTTCGTCGCCAAAGCCCGCGTCTCCTTGGAACCTACGCGAATAGTGCGCTGCACCAATGGGTTGCGGGGCGCCGTATTCGGCGTACGCAGGGGCTCGAGGGCCGTACTGACCTGGGCGTTGGGCGCGCGCGTTGCTCTGCATCCAGGAGTCGCGCTCGGGGAGACGGTCCTCGTACGATTCAGGGCGGCGGCCGAGGGGCTCGGGGAAGCGCGGGTTGTAGGTGCCTTGAGTCTCGATGGGGTACTGAGAGCGGTAGTGGTCTTCCTGCTGGTAGCGCTCGTCGTAGTGGGTCTCGTAGCGGCCGTCACGACCTTGTTGCTCAAAGTGGACGTCGTGACGGGGAGCAGGGCCGCGGTCGTCGAAGTGCTGGGGTCCGCGCTGGTGTTCGTCGATGTACACGTCGCGACGCTCTTCGTAGTGAGCTGGGGGCTGACGGTCGCGCTCAACCCAGACATCGCGGTGCTCCTCTACGTGTCGCGGCGGCGCGCCATCACGCTCAACCCAGACATCCCTCTCGATGTGCGTCGTGTGGGTGGGCTGGGCCTGAGGCTGGGGCTGGGGAGGTTCCTGATGGATGTCGATGTCGATGTGCGTCTCCTTGGTGGTCGCCTTGGGCTTCTTGGGCTCCTCGACTGGCTCCAGAGCAGTCAGGTAGCCGATGACCTCGCTGAGACTGGAATGCGCGATGGCGAGCTCCTTCTCCCGGTTCTCGAGCTTCTCCTTCTCGCTGAGCAGCCAGTAGACGCGGTGCCGCATGCCGATGCGGCGGCCGTCCTCGACATCGCCGGCGACGCGTTCCGTGTGCGGCGTGATGTTCTCAAGGGCGCCGCGCACGTCGCGCATGCATCCGTAGACCCACTTTGACTTTTCCGGGTTGGCCTCGAGGATGTCGTGGATCTCGCGGATGGACAGCAGGCGTCGCACTTCATCGAGGTCGGATCGGACGCGGCCAATGATGCGCACGTAGACGGCGTTGGATGGGCCAACGTCGCGGACGCGCTTGGCCTTGGTGAGGAACTCGGCGAGCTTGTAGGCACCCCCAAGGGCACCGGCGGCAGCACCGAGCGTGAGGATCTCTCCTTTAACCATGACGGGCGGTGAGGTGGCAGCTGCTGGGAGCTACCGGCTTGGTGAGGGTGATGTTCAATTGAGTGAAAGGGTGCCTGCGTCTCTGCCTGTACCTGGCGCGAGCATCCCGCGCAGGTTCAACCGGCGTGGAAAGTGGGGATAGGCGCTTTGGTGAGGTGTGAAGAGAGCAGAGTTGTTGTCGCTCAGCTACTCAGGGCAGCATTGACAGGGGCCGTAGCTGTTTAGTGTTATTCGGGGGCTGGGTGCTAGCCACATGGAGGCGCTCTAGCCTGCAGCTCGTCACTCCTCGCGACCAACCCGAGGTCTGAACTCCCCCAGAGCTCCACCCACGAACATGTGGCTTCCATCGCTTGCAACCGACGAGCTGATCGTGTTCATCGCGGAGATCCAGAGCGGTGAGGACACACGCTGGCCTCACCCAGAAACTGCCATTTGTCTGCGGTAAACAACATCTCCACGTCTTGTTTACTCCGTCCTGATACGCGCCTGGATCATCCCAGCTCGCCATGTCAGCTCCACTCGACAACGCACCGACCTGCCTGAAACTTGACACTCAAAACCTTGCTTTATTTACCGTACTTCGCAATGAACGCGCGAACTTTGGGGTCGCTCAAACTCAATTCACTGCCCTCTGCATCCAGCAGCTCGCGGTCCTTGTTCTCCAGCTCCAGCTCCATCGCCTTCAACTGCTCGTCCAGTTCCGGATTTGTCAAGCTAGCCTGGTGGAATGGTGCGTGCTTATATAGCGCACTCAAGATCGCCCTCATGTCGGTATCTGCTTTGCTTGTTCGTTCGGCAATTACATCATGAGCCGACGTCGCGGTGGACTCGTAGTGGCTCTGCAGCTTCTTGCTTCGCTCTAGCTGAGCTTGTTGCAGAGTATCCTGCAGGCTTTCAATGTTGTCGTGACTGAATGATATGCCCGCATAACGAAGCGCGTCTTGCAGTGTGACCGGGAGGTCGAGCGATGATGTAGGTTTGAGCTTCACCATGGGTGTAAAGGCCGACGTGTCAGACCTCATGCGCTTCAATACGGGCGTTCCAACCGGCGGGTGTGTTTCCGGTATACGTTTTGCTGCTGCTGCTTGAACATGCGCGAGTGCTTGTTGGAACTCGTCAGTGTCCTTCGTGCCAGTGGTTACTATGCTGAGACGTTTGCCCATGTACTCGAGCGTTGAGAGCACCTGATATGTTAGCAACAGTCCAATGACACTTGAGAGGTACTCACATAGTTTAGCCAAGCCGTTCGTGCCTGTGTTCTGTCCCTGTCCTTGCGCTCCTTCATCTCAATCATCGGCTTGCGTATCTCATGCTCGACAACCATTTCAGCAACAGAAGCGATCTCGGAGTGAAGCTCTTCCAGCTCAGCCTGCAGGGCGACCTTTCTCTCTTTGAGGTCTTCTTCTGTTTCTGCAACGCCGTTCTGGGAATGGCCCGATGCGTTGGTGAGAAACACAGTGTCGACGCGAGCTTTGATCTCCGCCGCGCGGAAAGAGATGATAGCCTTGCACCACTGCTCCATCGACTTCTCGTCCTCGCTGACTTCAGGCTCGGTGACAATCTGCGATACCAGCTTAGGAAGTCGGCTGAGAATTTGATCGTCGGATGCAAAGCGCTCTGACAGGTAACCTTTGAGTGTTGACCTTTCAGAATCAATCTCTCGTTGGGCGTCGGTCATCTGCTCTGTGACCGATGCAACGATATCGTCAACCTACTAAAGTTAGCGAAGAACCATTAATGACATTTGGGACTTACAGAGACGTCTAGTCGAGTCTTTTCCTGACCCTCCTTCCTTCTTCGCTCGTTCCTTGCATGCTCGACGTCCAAGTTGGGCTTATCGAGAGCTTTAAGCTTCATCAATGCATCTTTCTGAGTCTCCAAAACTCGGCATTGCTCTTCAATCGCAGTAGTAGAGCTCTTCAGCGATTCAATAGCCGCAGCAATTTCGTGGTCCAAGATAGGTCGGATGGGTTCACCCTCGCTTTCGTACTGGTGCAAGAGACCCTTCTTCTTCAAAGTCTGGTACCTAGAACATCAATTAGCAGATACCGAAATAAAGAAATTCTGCACTTACAGCTCTAGCTCTTCTTTGCTGAGTAAAGTGTCTTCGTGGAGGTACTCGTCGACCCACGCCGCAGCTTCGTGCTTTGTATCCGCATCCTCGAAACCCAGAAGAATGTTGTCGAGATCTACCTTGAGGCCTCGCTCTTCCACCACATTCAGCAGATGGTGAGCTGCTTGTTCTTCTTCCATACTGCCCACTTCTCAATCGTGTTCTTGCGGTGTGGGTGTTTTGTGGCAGATGCGAAAGCAGTTAGGTCAGCGACATTCGATACGGCGCGCCACACGACCCACACGCGCAGTCGCGGTTCACGGCACCCTTCGTGCCTTCCCAACGCGCTCGCGACTTGAACTTTGACTCAACACTACGCCCCTCCAATCCAAACTCCAACTCTCCGTACAGATCACGAAAATGCCTCCCACCGCTCTCGAGCCCATTATAACACCCGAACCAGGCAAAGAAACCGCCAAAGAAGCCTCCATCCAACCCACCCCACTACCCACCACCGCCATGCCATCCAGCAACCCGACCCACGAAGAACACCAATACCTCTCCCTGATCCGCGACATAATTCAAAACGGCGAGCACCGCCCCGACCGAACCGGCACAGGGACCCTCGCCGTGCCCTTCCCACCCCAAATGAAATTCGCCCTCTCGCGCCCATCCAGCGACCCAACACAGCCACCCACGCCCATCCTCCCCCTCCTCACCACAAAACGCGTCTTCCTGCGCGCCGTAATAGGCGAGCTCCTCTGGTTCGTCGCAGGCAGTACACACAGCAAATCCCTCTCAGAAGCGGGAATCAAGATCTGGGACGGAAACGGCAGCCGCACCTACCTCGACAGCGTCGGCCTCTCCCACTACGAAGAAGGCGAACTCGGACCCGTCTACGGCTTCCAATGGCGGCATTTCGGCGCTGAGTACAAAGGACATGCGGAAGACTACACAGGCCAGGGCGTTGATCAACTCGCCGAGATCATCGATAAGCTCAAGAATAAACCGTATGATAGACGGATTATTCTGAGTGCGTGGAATCCGGCGGACATTAAGAAGATGGCGTTGCCGCCTTGTCATATGTTTGCGCAGTTTTATGTTAGTTTTCCGGGGCATAAACAGGGGGAGGAGAGACCGAGAGGTGTGTTGCATAGTTTGTTGTATCAGCGGTCTTGCGATATGGGTCTTGGTGTCCCGTTTAATATCGCGAGTTATGCGTTGCTGACGCATATGCTGGCGCATGTGTGTGATCTCACGCCGGGAACTTTTACGCATACAATGGGGGACGCGCATGTTTATCTGGATCATGTGGAGGCGCTGAAGGTGCAGTTGGATAGGGAGCCGCGCGACTTCCCGGAACTGAAGATAAACAGGGAGATTGGGGGTAGTATAGATGGGTGGAAGGCGGAGGAGTTTGAGGTGCTGGGGTACAAGCCGCATGCGAGTATTGCGATGAAGATGAGCGTTTAGGATGTATACGCTGTATACGATGTATGATGAATGTAAGAGTACGTCTCGACCACATGCTTTTGCATCTATACTATACGTTTGCACGCTTTTTATACACGTTGTAGCCTGCAGACACGCTATAAACGCTACAAACTCAACGTAAATACATTACATGCAGAGGAAAATCATTTCTACCATTCCCACAGTCGCCAGAGTCCCCCTTTCATCCCCACCACACCCATCTCTCCTCACGAAGGCATCTCCTGCGGCTCGCCCCTCGGCCCATGATGATGCGCATACTTCACACTAGCCGGCAACTCACTCCTCACAGTATCCGAATCCGGCGCGTCCACATACTCCGGCGGCACAGCACCATACATGCTCTCTCTATTATACGGGCTCTTCTCTCCGTTAGCAAGCTTCGTCGCCTTCCTCTTGCGCCACCAGAAGGCCGCAAAGCCGATCAGCGCGAGGGCGACCAGACCGCCGATAACAGGGCCTGCAATCCATGCTTTGCTTGGCGAAGAGTCGTCGTTACTGTCTTTACTAGCTCCAGATGATGAGGATGGCGAAGAAGAGGGGATCTCCGCATCGAGGAGGACGGCGTAAGTCGCGCCTGGCTGCTCGCTGATCACACTCGTCGTGTTCTGCAGATAGCAATTGTTGAACCCGCCTTTCAATGTTGAGTCGAAGAGAATGGCTTTACATCCCACGTTCTCCTCTGCACAGGCATCCATACAAGCCGTAATATTCTGCGAATGCAAACTCGTAATATTAGTCCCCGGATTCAACCTCCCACAGTGCACTTCGAACCCCTTAGCATCCGGCGTGCCCGCCGCCGCGGTATACGATTCCCGGTCTGGACATTTCGTATCGATTTGATCGATTTGCGTCATGACTGCGGAGTGAAACAGGATGATTCCCGCGCCTACGTCCAGGCTATCTGTGTATCCAGAGTCGTCGCCCGTCTTGAGAATGCAGTTGGCGAAACCGATTACCATGGTGGGATTCCAGGACACAGCTGTGCAGAGCGGTTGCTGATCAACGCATATCTGCATGCATTCATCGAGGGATTCGGCGTGGTGGAACCATTGATAGTTGCCCTCGAGATGTGGATACCCGTCAAAATCAGCTACGTTCGCCTTGATCATCTGCCCGCAGTGCGTTGTGTATTGCATGCCGTGGACGCCGGGAAGGGTGTTGGTAGATAGATCTGTATGCGGACACGTTTCGTCGAAGCTTTCCATTTCGCTCCTCTCGACGAGGGCTGTGTAGCGGTGGGGGTTTGGTTCGAGGAGCTCGACGGTCGCGCTGCTGTTCTTCATGTAGCAGATGTTGTCGGGGTCGACCCAGAGTACGCCGAAACATCCTCCGCCGGGTCCCCAGAACCGTGAGCAGTGTTCTATGCATTCTGCGAAGCTGTCTAGTTGGATGGCTTCGGTTGGCGCGTCTGATGTCTATTAATGATGATCCCTCATGAAGGACATCGCGTGATCTGCTGCTCACCATTATTGCGTATGTTTTGATCACAGTATGTGGTGTAGTTGGCGCCGTTCAGTGTCGTAAATGGGCTGCCGCATCTCGCAGGACTATATTGCCGTGCTTCGAGGGAGCGATTAGATACATGTTCTGTTAGACCTGCTCTTGTATCAGTAAGCGTCGTCTTTACTACCACATCATCTCCACACTTGTGAACATACTTGTAGGTGAAGCAAACGTCGTAATCGCTAGCATCAGAGCCAACGAACTCCACGTCCTCACGTCCAGCATGCTAGTATAACCCATAGTCAAAAACCCGTGCTTGTACAACAGTAGGAAACGCGACAACGTGAGATCCGGGGATCGTGAGTGTACGATACAAGGTCAATACAAGGTTAAACCAAGCTGTACCGATCAGGCACGTTGCCAATAGTAAGCCATGGGGCGAAGTACATCGGTTATTGAAATTGCAACTAAGGCCTCCAATACATGGCATCATGATGGGGGCCAGAAAGTCTTCCTGTAAGACAATGCACCTCATGTTAGAGGTGAAATGCGTTGAATCCTACGACATGGCTTGAGGGCGCAGCGTCCGCGGGCATCTCGAATCATCGGGTGGTTGGGATTCGCCAGGATTATGAGTGGTGTCGACGAGAATGACGGCGTTGTGCTTGGTCAACGCATTGTTAGGCGTGTGATGATGAGCCAAGAGGTGCAGGGCGTTTGCAGGGATTGTGGTAGGATCCTCTTTAGCGTATGAACGCACCAATGGCGGATGGCCTCGTCGACCAGCTAGAGAAGGCGCACTGCGCCTTGCAGAGAATAACAACTGCACAAATGTTGATGTACGAAGTCGTCATGTCTCACACGCAGTGCTTACATGGGAGGTTCTAGGAATTTCCCAGGTGTTGTATGTTTTCTGCCAACTTGTAGAACCCTTTAGGAATACGCTCTTTGTGTACTAGCAAAGGAACGTCGCTTTTATAGGACTAGCCTTTTGGTGTCACATGTGCACAGCTTCAAATCCCCGGTTTTTGCATAACAACGGTTTGTAGTAATAAACTATTTGTAGACGTAGTAGAGTTTCTACTCGCTAACGAAGTAATACAACGATAATAAGGTCATAGACTTTGCGGACGACTGTTAAACTAACTTCCACTGTAGTAGGATACCGTAGTTCTGAACGCGTTCGTAATCGTCTCTGACGTGTGAGTATGACAGCCTTCCGGCACCTTCACGCTATCGAAGCGATCCTCAATCCAAGCAAGATAGTCATGGACTGTGACCATCGAGGCACCCAAGTGATCGACCTCCGGGTACAAAAGTAGCGACACACGAGACTCTGGGAAAGCGCTGCAAGTGCGGTTGAAGTCACTCCTGGTGTTGACTGCGTACACCAAAGAGTCAGCGATGCCCTGAATGACAAGCATAGGTGCAGCGAGAGCGTGAGGGCCAGCGCCATTGTAGCGCTTTTGCCAGTCGACAACATCTGGATGCTCGTACCAAGTGACCTTCTTGAACATCTGTGCGCTGGTAAAGTTGCCGTATAATGCGTTTGCAACAAGAATGCAGCCTTGATCCAGGAGTGGAAGGAGCTCGAGAGCGGCATCTGTAAGGTAGTCTTCGAGACGGAAGGTGTTGGGAAAGAGCAGTGCGAGTGATTGCAGAAGTAGGATGGCGTTGGCACCGCCGAACGGCCCACCATTGGCTCGTCGGATAGACTCAGGGAAGAGGTCAAGAGGACGGAGCGCGGGAGCAGCGGCGACAGAGCCTAGGAACTTTCCTGCCTTCAGCAACTCTTCTTGATCGGGCATCGCAAGCCGCTCGTTGGTTCTCCAAGCTGCCATGCCACCTTCACTGTGGCCGACAACTACATACTCCTCAGAGAGCAAGTCGCCGAGAACTTTGCGGGCAGCAATTGACCCGTATACGGCATCGGCTGCGTGCAAGAAGCCCGCCTCGTACATGAATCCTTGAGGGATATCTGAACCTTGACCCGAATAGTCGGGCGCAATGACAGCATACCCAGCAAGAGCAAGAGCATACGGGCCTCTCCATTCATAGTGTAAGTCTTTGTTGTTGGACGGTGCACAGTTACGAATTCTACCAGCTGTGCCGTGGGTCCAGACTATTGTATTCAGTGGCTCGTCCCGGTTCGGCTTGCTGTACGGCAACAGCACAAATCCAGTAGCCGGAATAGGGTTTCGTTCAATGTCTTCGGTCATGTACATGAAACGCGCAAGAGACATGCCGGTTGGTGCTGTGAATTTCGTGTTGCTGTCGTTGCGTGAGACTTGTTGCCATCGCAGAAGGGCGCCTGGCTTTGCTCCAGTGGTGTTGGCCGGGGTGGTGTAGAATTCGTCTCGCGTTACGTTCTTCGACACCCACCCTGAGGACTCGCGGAGGAGGGCTGCTTTGAATGCCGTCTGGCAAGCGGAGTCGCATGACTCTTGTGCGCGGCTGGCTCCAAGAAGGAAAGCTATGAAATGGGTGAAAGAAAATCTCATTTTGAAGAATGGAGAAGTAGAAGGAATGGCTTTGCTGATGCCCAGGTGGCATTGGAGGCTACAGAAGGGCCCTATTTATTATTTCGATTGATACAGCATCGATATCGACGCACGATATGCCGACCATACTGAGGTCAGGTGCAAGTATGCACTAGACACGAAGTGCCGGCGGTACTTCTTGTTTGATCTAGCGGGATGCACGACATTGCGCAAGCAAAGAACAGCCGAGAGACGTACCCGGATGACGTCGTTCTTAGCCTTCTTCCGATGCGACAAACTCGATCTAAAAGGTCGATGTACGAAGTTAGTGTATGTCTCGCACGCAGTTCGTACATACATAGGAGATTTGACCCCTGCCAGATACCCCATATTCTGGACCAGATGTTTCACTTTGCTCTATTACGGGTAGTCTTTCCACCAATGCGGCTGAAATTTTACGTATAATGTATTCCAAGTATACGCAAGTTGAACACTCAGCCAGGTTCGGAATGTGAAGGCACCGGCTGAAGACCTAACATGTTCGTGCCTACCTGGGTACGAAACAACGGAGTGTGCCTTTGACTCAGACTGTGGTCTGATCCCGATGCCTGCATACGACGCAATGGCACTTCTATCCCAGTAACGCAGCGCCTCTGCGCGACTTTGAAAGAAGAGACTTGACAAGAAACCATCGGCCTTGACCACAAGCGAGCGTATAGGACGGCCATGAGGTCGCGTAGAGACGTGCAAGCTCTGGAAGAACTCATCTACTACAGAAAATTCCTCTCAGATAGCGTCGTTAGGAGATCATCAGCATCATGTAACTTAGCGGACCTTCAAGGTCGTAACGACTTTGCCACGACGCGTGTACACAACAGTACGGTGCATAGATGTGCACCACTGGCCCGGGCGTGCTTCGCGCCGTGACAACGCATCGTTGCCTACCTAGGTAGCGCCATTAGACGTCGCTCGGAAAGAAGCAACACTTCCAGCAGTGTTGATTGTTCACGAATACTCCTCTTCATCGATATCATCCAAATATCCAATGCTCTTCGA